TCTACAATATCAGTCCTCTGCAAAGAGCTTCATCACTTCTCTTCAGATAGCATTCTTTGAATAGATTGGCTCCACACGTCTTTGGAAGCGACGTCATCGATCCTAAAGGGGTAAAGGGCCTTGGTACGAGTGAGCAGGGTTGGCCCAAAATTCAAATTTGGCGCCCCGGAAAATCGCCCGGACACTCGTCCCGAGCTTTTTCCCGGTGCACTTTAGCGGAGAGTCTGCCTAGGCTTAGTCCTAGAAGCCTCTTTACAGAGTGATCTCCTGAGCCACACTGCGCCAAAAGTAGTAAAGGGAATGTCATTCTAATGAGAGTAGAGTGGTCAGACATAAAAAAGGATTCCATACAGCATTCATTCATTGATAAAACACGAGAATTCCCGCATAGTTGAAGAAAAAGGCGTCGGATACGGTAGCGCGCGAGCGGAGCAAGTGGTGTGACTACACGCTGCAAGTGGACAAGAGTATCCGGTTTGCTTACTTCTTGTCCAAGTCGTCAAATGCATATTGGGAATCATCAATCGCTAAGGCAGGCAGCCCTCTTTCGCTTTTCAAGGGCGGATTTACGATGAAAAGGTAGTTCATTGAAAATATAATAAAATTAGAAATGGGAAGTGAAACAGGGATGAATAACGTGGCACTTAAACGGTGAGATGGCTCGTAACCCGAGAAATGAGACCTTTTCTTGACCCATCGATTTCCGCATTGATGTGACTCTTACGGTTGTGCCCTCTTTAACGCTCTTTCTGCTATTTAACCTTCGCCGCACGTAGACCTGTAGCGAGTGATCCGATGGTCGGTGGGCCGCGCCAACTGCGCCTAAAGGAAGGCCACGCTTGATAGCCGGGGCATATCCTTCGATGCGAACTGCGTGTTGGTCCGCACTCTTAAAGGCAAAAGTCGGGCTCAATAAGGGGGTATTATGGCGATTGAAACTGAGTATAGAGATGCGAAGTGGAACGACAGTGGAGAAAAAACTGAGAAAAACCGTCGACAAGGCCGTTAACAAAACCCTCTTTCCCACTAGCAGTGAAGGAGGCTGGCTTGGGGAAGAGGCACGTACAAACAAGTTTTCTGAAGATATCAGTCGTTCTATCGGTTGATACGGCAATCAACCTAGCTGATTTCACACGTTATGCCAGCCACGCACCACATCCCGAGGTGGGCGGTCGTAGCGGGGCCAGGCGGCGATAGCGCATAGTACGTGCCCTGGGCCTTATTACCGCGTTTTCGAGATTTTGAGTGTGGGAACATCTCTACGGGTGCGTAACCAAGTACAGGCATGACCGAAAGGGTTGGTTAGGTCAACTAAGCCCGACCTTTGCCTTTAACGGGTTCGCCTGTCTCTCCGAGGTGAGTTTCCACTTCTTTGACCTTCGTTCTTATCGTGAAACCGTTTTTGAAGTGCTTATCTAATTCTCTATACAGGCTAGAACCATGCCTCGATTTGATGAGCTCCTGTTTAGATTTTGACAAAATGCAACGATTGATTCTGAGACCAACCGACTCATTCAAACTTGCCCTCACCTCCACTTGTCCAAAAGCAACCTTCCAAAGTGGTCATCTGACAGTGGGAGGGGGAGGGGTGGGACCAGAGTGTAAATGTGTCAAAAAATGGCATAAGTTCATAAGTTTATTGCGTATGCGGAAGGCACACGTGAGACAGTAACAACATTACGGTGTGAATTATCAAACAAAAACCTGCACAGAACCAAACGAAAATAATACAAATCATAACTTAGCTGTTAATCAGTCTCAGAAAACATTAGGACTTGCCTTTGCTTAGCAGCAATTTAACAACACGGCGTTTGAACTGCGCCAGCGATAAAGTGACGGGTATCTTCTTCGTAACTTCAAATAGTCACTACCGGCCCTAAAGGTGAAGCTTCTTGCCCTCAAGTTAGTTTTAGGGCGCGTCAACGAGATCTTCATGGAGCCTCCCCTAGTTCTCGAAGATGTCAACTTGAATACATCGGAGGAACCGTAACCACACGCGCCCTGAACCAGCTTATGAACCAAACAGAGGTCGAAAACTCTGCGCCTCACTTCTAAAGATGTCAGTCCTAGATACTGATTCCTAATAGCTGCCTTTGGTATTTTGGAGTACAAAAACCACCAATTCGAATAAGCAGTTTACGAGTAAAGTTATTCTGAACCTTCTCAAGCGCATAGACATGCTTCCTCCTTGTGGTGTTGAATACCGCAGTGCTGGATTCAACCAGGGGTCGCACATATGACTTGTAAGCACGCAGCAAGGTTCCTTTATTAGCTAAGGATAGACTCCAAAAATTTGAAAAGTTCCGAATTAGTTATTCTGACCCTCGCTCCAATGTGCTCCGTCAAGTCCAACTTATTGTTGTAAAGAGAATCGAGGTCAGTGACAGATTCAACCGCAGAAAGAGGAACACCATCAACAGTCGAACGAACCTCTAGACATCAGCTGCATGTTTGTATGGTGCTATCGGCAGTTGCCACTGCTCGGACCAGCTTACACATAGATTACTTGCTTCCTTGTTTAAAATCTACCACTGCTGAGAATAGTTTATAGATTTTATTTCGTCTGCATATACCTTTGCAGTAACGCCTGCTCCATGAAGAAAATCAGGGAGTTTGGCCATGAAAATATCACCCGCCTGACGTCCGAGAAAGTCTGACTAATTCTAACCTGGAATGTTCTATTGCTTAGGGATTCTGGAATCTACTTTGTAAGAAGCGGGTGGAGGCAAGGCTTTCAGCTTGAAGATCAGGTTTTTGTGTGAAACCCTATCGCAACGCTTTTGCAAAGTCGAAATAAATGACATCGCAGGAGACCTTATTATCAAGAGCTTCGGTCCAGTCGTTGAGGCATTCGATCAGATTTGTTTCAACGGAACAGACCTGGAGCAGAATCATTTTGGTGCCTAGGATTTTGCTGGAATAACCGGAAATTTCATCAAAACCCAGAAAAGAGCCCCTCCCCACAGCGGCGGTAACGTCCCCCTCGCTTACCACATCTTTCTGCGCTTTTTCTTGAAACGGTTAAACTTGGCCGACCCCATTTACCATCCCATCCTCCTCCTTCGAATATTTTGGGCGGACGACTCTACTCTGGAAAAACCTCAATGAGTTTTGATTTCATTCCCATTATGCTCAAGATCGACTGTTCCCGAGAAAGGGTGTGTATACTTGGAATATAGTAATGATGTTATCATAAAACTGAGCTGTCCACAAAGAAACTGTTCCTATAAAACAAGTAAACTACTTAATTAAGACGACGATTTTGTCGAAACATCCGGCGTATTTAGTAATGGTTTCACCTATCGACCTCGTGGCACATGGAACATACACAAACGAGATAATTTATTTATGTTGTGACTGTCGGCGCTTTGCTCATACGACCACCGGAGCACCCGGTCACACCGTAGCGGAAGCCCATAAGGCGCTTCGAGAAACTCATGCGGTCTCGCAGCGGCCGTAGCCCTGGCCTTTCCTCACACGAAGAGGTAGCACGCCTAACTGGAGACAACTGGAACTGCAGACGACAGGAGTAGACGACTGTCGTTGGCTAGGGCGGTGCCATCATGCGGCCCATACTCGACGCCGCGTGCATTGGTCATGCAGCACAGATAAGGCGACATCCTACTGAACTATAATATAAGGGTTTGGTAGCTTAGGCCGCGATCTCACGGGGTAAATCCCAAAAATTCTATTTCAGTGGTGCAACAGAGCGTGAGCCTAGTTTAAATCTATAAAAACGATTGACGCGACACACTGGTGCTTAGAACGCAGAGCGAGCAGGTAGCCAGTTCTTGACTTTTAAGGTGTTGTTGAACATTCTGCGATTCATTTTTGGCATCCGCTCAAATTGTTTGCTCCGCTTTTGAGCTCAATATGGCGTTTCGGCTTAGACAAGTGCAGGCACTCAGAACACTAAGTGAGCTGACTTGAAGTTGCCACCAATATGCGCCTTGCGATGCGCTCTGTTACCATCGCAGAAGCGAAATCAAATAACTTCTTGTCCACGCTCTGCCGGTGCTCAACTGCCGCACGCCAGCGCGCAGATTGGTTGCATTCGGCGGATATAGCCCCAAATGCTACTGTACAATTTAGAAACTGTTAAATAAACATTCCAGATGCACGACTATGAGGACCTTGTGTATCTCGGCGACATTACAATTGGAACACCTCCGCAATCCTTCCGGGTTTGTTTACCATGCATCCGGTCATTGCATTTGCATCGCGAGCACTGCTGGATTCTTTATTGACACATGCATTAGGGGAGACTCGTTGGGAAAGTGAACAATGACACCTACGTGTCATTTGGGGAGATACGTCTCGAAACTTTTAAGTTTTGAGTTACGCGCAAATATCTACAATACTTCTATCAGGTCGTACTGGACACTGGTAGTGCAAACTTATGGATACCAGACATAAGATGTGTGCAGGGCCGAAAAGAAATCTGCAAACAGTCCAGATGTGACTACGGACGTAAGTGTTTTTCTTTGTCAACTTATAAGATGCTCTCGTCCTAATGACAAATGATGAGATGTAAAATTATACCACATGTGCTGTGTTTGTGCATGCATGCCCTGTTCAAGAAAGCCAGATTCTCGTCGAGTGCAGGCCACACAAAACAAGGGCGAGGGCGTGCACAAAATGTAGATGTTCTGTGCCAAAAATGATGAACCGCTTGCAGGTGTATCTCATCAGTTGTCCTAATTACGACTACCATGCACTAATTGTCTCATTCATGCCGTGCCTGTTGTCAGTCTTATCTCGTTAAGTGGCTTGTAAGCGGGAACCCAAATATCAAAGCAGGTGGTTTTTGCTTATTCCTCGCCACTGACCTGGATAGTACCCTCATCTTGAACAGTTTCCAAGTACTCGGTCTTTTTGATGTTGATACGAAGACCGTACTGGCTAAGACGATTTCATCAGGTCTGCACTCGATGCTGTAGATCTGAATGTTGGCCGACTACAAAAGGTGGTGAGCGTCAACTTCGTATGCGTAGGTGCGTATGCTTCGGTGGTCGCTGGGCATCTCACGACTAGACCACGTTTGCAACGAAGTGATTCGACGGCGCGTGGGTGTTGCGCCTATCACAGAGAAAATGCGAGAGAGACGACTACAGTGGTATGGCCACGTCATACGAGCTGCTCCTGACACTGTCGCTGCCACTGCTTACCGCTTTGAAGTCGACGGCAAACGACCGCGTGGGGGACCAAGGCAGCGGTGGCGACACAATCTATGAGGGCATGAAAATTGCACAGCTCGCTGATAGGATGAAAGTGGCTCTTTTCGATCTTAACAACGGACCCTGTCCAGCAGGACAACGTTCAGAGGCAAGAAGAGGATGTACCAACTGACGCTATCATAGATCACTTGCTACTGGATTTACCTGAAGGTCATAGTCATTTATGGTGTGTGATCTGTATTCAACGCACACATCTGTTTTCAAACAGATTTTCTTTTCAGTTCTTGATTTTAGTGGTATGTGAAGTGCTTTGTCCGGACACATCGTGTTGCGAAAAATTCGGAACTGAGGATGACAGGAGGCGGAATCCATGCAAAGATAAGGAATTCTTCAACTCTCTCAAGTCGAAGACGTATGTCAAGATTGACCCCAAAATCACATTCGAAATTGAGGTGAGTTTATTTTATTCAGGACACGTCCACCTAGTGGTGATTTAGAATGGAGTTATGTTTTCTTCCTAGCTTCATACACATATAGCCCTGTAGTAGATCTGGCATAGCTTTCAGAGGACGGTGTCTGTTTTTTAGAAATCTCACAACACCCGATGATCCGGTGAGTGCAGTGTTGTTGAAAAGGAATGGGAGCCGTAGACTACGACAGTAGAATATACACCCAGAACCGATATTAGAATCCGAAACCTGGGCGCCTACTGTGACGACACCTCATCTTCGTTGTATCGTTGTGAACCTATACGATCTCTCGTCTGAGAGCTTGTTTTTCTCATCTTTTCTCCCCTCGTCATCCACACCCTCTTTCCTCACTAGAACGCTAAACTGCGCAGAGCAAAGACCACTGTATGTTTTGCGCTTTCTGCTCTCTCAATTTTTCTCCTTAAAAACTATACACTTTTTGCTCCTACTTTCATATTAGGGCGGAATTATCGCAGCAGCTTTATCGTTATCGTGTGGTGTACATGCGAAATCGTAGCGAAAGCTCTTCCAGACATTTCCGTGGAACTTTCATTTCTTATGGGGGGAAGAAGATGTAAGAAAGCTTTCCAAACATTACAGTATAATTATCTACCCTTTGCATTGAGCTCCAGCTTCTTACGTTTTCTCGCCACCCTCCCACCATCCATGGTTGGTTACGAAAAAGAACGAATTTTCCACTAAGTTCCTCAACAACATTTCTTCGGAGCATTGGTCTTCCTCTCCCTTACCTATTACGCCACTACTTTCTTCTTTATTATCGTATGGTTCCGGTCATAAGTGACACATATAAAGCATAGGTATCAACATAAAGATCCAATTCAAGAGAGCAACAATTCCTTATTTTCAATTTCCGAAAATACTCCGTTTGCCTGTGACGCGAAAATCATACTTCCACCACATGTTTCTCCGCTGCATTTTATTTTTACCAACTTTTGAAATTATTATCCCTCTAGTTTGCTTAGGGTTATGCAAGAGCAAACCGCTGCCAGAGATTCCGTAAAGGGAAAATCCTAGCAAAAGAGGTGCAGGAATTGTCGAAGTGCCACTTCATGTTGGAATTTGGCCGAGGTCAGCTCATAACGAGCAATTTCCTCAAGGATCCTTTAGTATATGATATTGTACCCATAAAGGGAAAATAATACGAATTCATCAAGCCGAGTACGGGAATGAAAACTTCTTCGGAAGTTACATTTCAAGGGACGCAGTTAAACGTCTTTTTCTAAAGCGCCTCTGATAATCCATGGAAAATAAGAAATACACTTTCGCTCAAAGACATTCTAGAGAAATATGGGCCATTTTTTCAAAAATTTTCGCCAACCCAGGTGAAGTGTTGACGCTCTTTAATTTGAATTTTTTGATATGCTTATTTCTTTCCTTTAACGTTTTTCTTTCAGATATCAGTTTTTACTTCGTATCGAGTATGTGTGGAAAGAAAAAGCTCAGGTTTATGGCTAAAGACTTCGAAACACACATAACGTATCACTCCACTCGACTTACCGGACCTTTCTAAGGAAAATGGCTCGTTTTTCTCTAGGATTTCATCTCACAAAAAATATTTTTTTATCTTCCAGACATGGACTATCAGAGGCGTTTTAGAAAACACGTTGGAACTGCGTCCATCGAGACATAACCTTTTGAAGAAGTTTTACCTGGTACTCCGTTTGGAGATGTTGTATTAATGTCGTATTGTACTTTGGTAGTATATTATATTCTGTTGGACTCTCGACGAAGTTGTTCGTTGTGAGGTGACCCCGGCCAAACTCCAGCATGAACTGACACTTCGACAATTCCTGCGCCTCTTTGCTAGGATTTTCCTTTACGAAACTTGGAAGCGGTTTCGCTCTTTGCATTAACCCTAAGCAACCTAGGCGGATATTTCAAAATTTGATTGCATAAAAATAAAATGCAGCGGAGAAACATGTGGTGGAAGTATGATTTTGCGCCATAGGCAGAGCGAGTATTTTCAAAAAATTAATAAAAAATTGTTGCTCTCTCAAACTGGATTTCCGTGTTGATATTCAGAACTGCGTTTATATGTGTCACAATTCCTCTCCGGAGCCTTTTCCGAAAACATCTCCCAGATTCAAGTTTTTGGGAAATTTGTAGGTGGAAGTATGGTTATGCGTCGCAGTGTATGTAGGTTTGTGTGTCCGTTCGCAAAATGAAATGAGTGAAAAGGCAGCTATTGGAATAAACTGTCACTAACAGAGTGGAGTAGCTCGCAGAACTTTAATCAAACGCTTGAGATAGTTCAACTGTGATAACACTCCTACGGCTAATATAGCCACTTCCGATCGCTGCAAATGATGTTGCAGTGGATTGGAGGGCAGTGGAGGGACGGAGGATAGAGGGAGGAAAAGCAGAAAATCTACCGTCACGGATTGGTTATGCTGGTTCCCTCTACTATGTGAACTCCTTTTTGCTGCATGCGCGCCACTCCACGAGGTGTCGCTTGGTGTCACAGGTAGGAAGGAACCGCAGCGAAAAGCGCAAAGTGTACACAGGAAAGGAAGGCCCCGACGGTCTGACGGTCGACGGGGGATCCGTCGGGTAAACGTTAATAATAATCGGTTATAAGCCACAAATGATGGTATGTATGAAAGTCGCAGCATGGTCCATGATGTAGTGAGGAAGTGAGGGACATGAGAATGAAATGGAGACACAGAAACCGCCTTATATATCCTTCTCAGCATAGTCATGTTATTGTATCAAGAGCGTACTGGTGAAAAACATTACTTTGCTTAGGATTTGGCTTAGCGGAGCATAGAGAAACATGAAAGTCATGTGCAGCCACTGTGAACACCACGCACGAGCGAAAAAAGCGGCTTACTTCAGGTTATATTCCAATTTGATGTACCGATAACACGCAAAGTTTAGAAAATCTTACCGTGGATTTGTCTAATAGACCTGCTTTGTGGGTCCTAATCTGTTTCTATGATGGATGCGAGCCTCGACAAAGTGCAGAGCAATGGTCAGGCTGAGCCGTAGCTACGCTCGCTTTCTCATGAGAATTGCCAACACACAGGCTACACAAGAGCTCTTTAAACTAGAACTTTTTTTTGAAATACCCTTCGGTATAAAATCATCCAAAAACATTAGAAAGAGCTTCATGGTTGCATGCACCCACATATTTAGTTTTGCTCATATATCACAGCAATTTTGTTGTTTTTTTGCGTACAGAGTTCAAATTCAAAATGCAACTGATGTCATCTCTTTACTTTGTCATACTTCAGTACGGTACAGGATCTGCATCTGGATTCCTCGGCAATGATACTTTACGATTTGGAGACAAGGACAGCAACGATACCTTAAACGTACCTGGTATCGTGTTCGGTCAAGCGGTGAAAATTGCTGAAGTTTTCGGAGACGTAAGTTTGTTCACATCATTTTATACAAAAGTACTCTAAATACAGTTAGCGTTAATGAAGAGCGTAAGAAGGGAGTTCGACCTGCTTCAGTGCAACACCTTCTTTAAGAACTATTAATTGCTACCATAAACTAAAAGGGCGTAAACTGAAGTGTCATGTTGCGACAGCCGCACACAATACCCCAAACTGGGCCGAACACGCCCAAGGAATGCAGACCATATCAAGTTCCAAAAGAGTATCGAATCAAGAGAATCTAATCGTATGCGTTTGAAAACCTACTCTTTCGCTGCCTCTGTTGGTAACTGTAGTGTTCGCGTTCTGACTCTGCATAATGCAATGGACGTGCTTCTGCGCACAAAAGGAGCAATGCGAAGTTCCGAAACAATCCAAATTACTGCTCCACAGAGCTCAGTTCCATTACGCGGGTGTAGAAGCTTGCTAAGGAACCGCATCCATTTCAGAGTCTTACTAGCCTTGCATCTCTGAACCGAAGTTGTATTACGATGATGCTCGCACCAGCATGTACAACAATTTGTACGCTTTTTTAATATTGGGACCGCATGTTCATACACATAGCACCTAAGAGGAAGAAGAGTTCTGAAGTAGAAGCAATTATGCGATCATAGACCAGTTTAGCTCCGCACGCCGCACCTACCGCATGACACAGGAGGCTTTGATGAAACTGGGCAAAAAAACAATAAGTTGTTTCTAAATGCGTTTCTGATCCTTGCATAGGCTGTTAATTTTAGCTCACTGTTTGATAAGCGCAGTGAAGTGCATAGCTAAAGTGATTTTTGTAAACAACTACCATGGGTCGAATGTCAGGTTCATTTACCTGGCTTCAAGTAACCTCTATGTTCTTACGCATGCCTTAGCTATCAGGTCTTATCAGCCGTTATTAATTTCCGTCCTCCATCGAATATGTACCCATTCCATCCATACATCGCCTCTTGAAATTAACGCCTCACTGCTGCTGGACCGCGCACTACGAGCTTTGTGGGATTTTCATCAGCTTCCATCAGTCGCTATCGCTTTCTTTCTTCCATCAAATATATTCCATCCCTCCCCTTACATCATACTTAAAACACAACCCTCCATGACTGCGCGAAGCCCAATAAAACTTTCGTGAAATTGGCATTTCGGCGCCTCTTATCAGCTCTCGGTCGTTATCAGTTTCTGACCCCCACCTCGCCCCACCCCTTATGTCATACCTCCTGAAGACAAATCAGCGAATCAGCTCCTGAAGACTGCTGCAACACGTGCTATGAATTTCGCGGCACACACACCGTTTCACAGCCCTCTTGCGGTCCATTAAGGCAACAGTCCCAGCAGGGGGCGTGGTCGGAAACGGCTGCAATCCCCTCGGCCGATTCCCACTTCGGAGCTGTTCAGCCCCTAGTCAAGAACGTAAGAAGTGTGACTGAACAAAAACTCACCTTGGAAAGCCGCTAGGGAGGGAGCTGAAGTGGGCGTGGTCGGAATCGGCCGAGGGGATTGCAGTCGTTTCCGACCACGCCCACCCTGCTGGGACTGTTGCTTTAAAGGCAAAAGTCGGGCTCAATAAGGGGGTATTATGGCGATTGAAACTGAGTATAGAGATGCGAAGTGGAACGACAGTGGAGAAAAAACTGAGAAAAACCGTCGACAAGGCCGTTAACAAAACTAGCAGTGAAGGAGGCTGGCTTGGGGAAGAGGCACGT